TTCACATAATGCACGCCGAATACGTTTCAAAAAACTAGCGACGGAGCAAACACCTTAAGAACAAGATTTCCGTCACAACGACCACGGTAGCGCCATATCGTCAAGCAGGCAGGCATACGCCACATGACTACATAAAGCAGAATTAACTTGTGAGTTAGTTGCATTGCGTCGATGTCATCAATCTCGTACCAGCGCCGCACACAAACGTTAGGGGAGAACGCGCAAGAGGGGCAGCGCAGCCATAACGGCAGTGTTTTGTATTTTGGTGTTTTGTGTAGAGCAGTAACGAGGGCTGTGGAAAGTTATGTATAGCACTGAATGTTTTTTGGTCCTTAATTGGGTACATACTTGTTGATCGAACCTGACATGCTTTCTAGCTTTTTTTTACAGTTTAGTAAGCCAATTAAGCCAAATTTTCATACAATGCAGATCGCTGACTAAACACCTTCTTATTGATTTTGCAGTACGTTTTTAGCTAAACCTAGTCGTGTTAGTGGTTTTTGATAAGTAGATACTTGACCTGTGAAGCCTTCTGGATACGTTTCTGGAAGGTACTTGGTGGTGATATCGCCAGCACGAAAACGTTTTTCTTCAATAATGTCACGTAACAGCGGTATATTGTGCGTGGGCTGAAATGAAATTATTCCATGGCAGGGAAGTAACAATTCTGGAAAATTCAATGATTGTTAACAATTTTATTGTGTCTTTTGATTTCTTCTTTTTCTCAGAGAATGAAGAAAGATTAAAAAAAAAACACATACACCACGGATGACATAATTATCCAGAGCATCGCGCATGCGATCCAGAGCTTGCTGCCTGTCACTACCATGCGTCACCAACTGCAATGATATACAAATTTAAGTCAGTGATGCCAGCAATTTTGGTCTTTCTTTCCCCGGCCAATGGTTATCTTAATAAGGGCTTCCAGTTTTCAGTGATTATCGCTGAAAATTTTTATGAACTGCTCTTATAAGGCCATACTTCTGCAAATATTGGTGATTTTATACAAAATGATTTCTTTTGTTATTTTCGCCTTCCATTCCTTTTTTTTC